TCTATTGAAATTGCAATCTTTTGCGTTATTTTTCTTCCAAATGGTTGAGAGGATAATACCAAGACTTCAGATTCTTATTTCACTTATCGTAAGCTTCAATTCTATGTATCATTTAACGAAATACCGAAGGTACGAAATCGATCTATGGGCGCTTGGCCGTATCTCTTTTCGCTAGTGGAAAAGTGTTAAATGTTAAGTGTTAAATGTTAAATGTGTTAAGTGTTGTATCAAATTTGAGATTTAGGTATAAATTCCATCCAAGCAACGTAACGACAAAACTCAAACGCCTAAAACGCATGTTATGGTCGCAAAATTTGCTTTTCTACCTGTCAAGAACTAGTACGATCGGCAGCATTGGCACCAGCAGGTATATGAACTATGCCCTGCTGAGAACTATGCCCTGCTGAGAACTCGAGGACTATTCCTTTCAGTCGGTTTTATATTCCGTTGTTATATATGAAAAAAAATAAAACTGTCTTTTTGACCGCCGATAAATTTGCTCACACAATGTCCATTTCGGTCTGCGATTTTGCAAAATAAAGCGAGAGAGTCGGGACTGCAGATATAGCTATTGTAAATTAAGATCCGTTAAGCTTCTCAGGAGTCCATTTTGAAGCGAACAATGGAATCGCGGGTGGAATGTACAAAAATGTAGTTGGTGTTTCTCTTTCTGTTAGCGCCGTGTCTATGCTCTGTTTCAATAAAAGGCAGTCAGATCCTTGGTGGCAGCAGAATAGCCCCAGGGATATAAGGCGTTATTCTATTGAGTAGCACCTGCGCGATGACGAGTCGTACTGGATTAGTCATCGTCTCTATGGTTCAGGTATATTCCTAGCATCCGAATAGTTAGTATAAACGACATCGTAAATATAGAATGATACTATGTCACATAGCTGGTGGATTAAATGACTATATGTCTACGAAGTTGGCATTTCATCTTAACAAAAAATTAATTTTTTATTAGAATTTCGAATGCATTCGAAAAAGTTCTAGAATTTCTATTAAAATTGTATAAAATAGTAATAAAGAGTAAATAATATAAATTGTATTATAAATAGTTATGGCAAAGTAAATTTAAAAATCCATTTAAACTTTGAAACTTTGGAGTGCTAATTTTAGAAAACTTGTCTGTAAAACTAGCATCCCCACTCGATTTATAATTTTAGTGCTCGAACCATTTAAAAAAAATCTACGATTGTGGAGATGTTAATGTAAAGCTAGAGAAAAGAACACTCTCTCCCATTAAATAATATAAAAAATTAAAAAATTGTATTATAATTTAATACTTTTTAAATGCTTTTAGAAGCTATAAACAAAATTGATCTTTTTCTTATAGTTTAGAAGATATAAACCAACAAAAATATGCAAGGATATTTAAATTTACAAGAATAAAGTACTCAATAAAATCGAGATAAAGAATTCTAGTCTCAAAACGTTTTCGTGCTCATCTTTTATTATGAAAAATCCACTCTTGATTTGTCGAACGTCACGACTTGCAAGAGTAAAATAACCTATAAAATCGAGATAGAGAATTATTAGTGTATTTTAATTCTTTCACATTACATAACGGAAAGGTGCAAACTACGTCAAATTAGCATTCCTACTTTCAATCGCAAATTTCTTTTAAATGACTCGAGCACTAAAATTATAAATAGAATACCAATTGGTAATTTGATTTAAATTAACAGTTAAATAAAATATTGGTATTAGTGTCATTTCAATATTTTGTGGTGGGGGTGTTAACTTAATAAACATTTACAAAACGCAATCACCAAATCAGTAATAACAACATCTTAATCGTTGAAAATAATTCAATTTGTCATTAAGATTTTTTTACAGAATATTTGAGGTGTCACCCAGAATTCTTGGATTTTTGACCAAAATTTTCTAATCCCTTAAATTTGAACTTCGGTATTTTAATCATAGTTTCGGATAGCATCTTGCGAGCTCTAAACTCCAACGATGTCTTCTAAACTTAGATCGCTGAAATCAAAATTGGTAAAAATATTGTGATTTTTTATATATCAAACTAAAGATTTTCAAGGGATAAAAAATTTTGTGACTAACATAAATTCTTATAACAAAAGTTGTTAGAAATGTAAATAAAAAAGTAGTATTCATTTTTAGATGGCAATTTTGGATATCATAATAGATAGAAAAAAATTTTTGAAAATTTCAGCAATTATGATGGAAGTTCTGGATAGTACCTAGAGTGCTAAGAGTCGTATAAAAAATCCTAGTGATAAATTTAATTATTTTCAACAATTGAGATGTTGTTGCTGATTTTGTGATTGCATTTTGTGAAGTTAGCATCCCTAAGTTCTGAATGAATAAATTTTTGAACCTAATTTGCCAGAACTATTTCTAGATATAATAAGGAACTCTAAACTCTTTGTGGTGCATTAAAAATTTTAATAAATAATTGATTGTTTTATCTACTTTATAGCGATTGTTATTGCACACTACATTTATTATTCTCTATTGCGTGTTTTTTAATAACATATGCAAGGTTTAGATTAATTTTTTACTACATTATGAAGTATTTTTGTTACATTATGAAGTACATTATGAGATATAAAATTGGTAGCAATTATGAAATATGATTCATATATATAAACATGATACATCAATAATTACTGCCTATACGATGAGCGCGCGCGCACATTAATGATCATTACACTATAAAATAGGAAATATCAAATTAACGAAACAATCATATCAAAATGTAAAATATGAAATTTATGTAAATTTAAATACTTTATAACTTGGAATACAAAATTCAAGATAAATCTTTAATATATTATATATTTAACATATTGTAAAATCTAAAACTTAAAATTAATACTGCGCAAGTACGTTATATGATTTAAAACATAAAAGTGCAAGATGTATTTTTATCAATATCAACGTAGAATGTAAATTCTGTTTTCAATCAACATCCTGAGGTCGATTTTTCTCTTTCTCATTCACGGGTTCGAATAACGCGCTATCTAATTTCGACGTTTTCACCGAGTTTCGAAAAGTTTGGTTATACTCTGCACCATCTATTCTTGCACACGTGTAACGCACGCGCGCGCGGGAAAATCCTGCTCCTGTGAAGAAAGGACACATCGAGAAAAAAGCGAGAGTGGCGCTTAAAGAGTGGTGGGGGGAGAGGGCAGATAATAGGAACGAGCGAGCGGATATGATACAATGGCAGATTTTCTCTTGGGTATACAACCGGGCGAGTTAGGCGAGCGTGAGTCAGAGGCTTGAAGCAGGGAGCTGCAAACTTGATGCACATTCCCCTTTTACTCAAACGGAGTACGAGAGACAGAGAGGGGAAGAGAGAAGGAGGGAGGAGGGGAGAGTGGCAGAGGAAGAGAATGAGCGTTGTGTCATGGACAAAATAACACAAAATATAATAGTTACTAATTTGATTCAATCGTTTGGGACAACGTATCTTGTCTATTGCAAGCGCAATCGTGTATAATGTACTTTCTTTAGAATATAACAAAATATACAGTCTTAGAAATTTACATGCATTTTGAATAAGATAAACAAATTTTAAATAATACAATAGAAAGGCATAAACAAATTTCTTAGTGAAATGATTACATGTATATTTTTTATGCAAAATAAAAAGAGAGAATTGGTAATTTTTTATTTATTTTATAATCTGTGAAATTTACAGAGGACATAGATAGGGCACGCATGGAAAGTGATTAAAGTACTAATCTTCGAAATGAGAAGGGCGAGATTTTGAAAATACCAGGCTCATATCAATAATCAGTTACTTCTTCAACTATAGTTATTGACTCGAATACTCATTCTTAATCGCAAATGGACGCGCTTGACAGCAATTACGCATGATTTTTGATCGACGATCTCATTTTGTATGGTGTTTTCTTTCGCTTCTTTGTTTTTCTCATCGTGGTTCTTTTTATCTCATAATTTCTTTTTTTTAATTATAATTTGCGACAGAGTTCGAGAGGTAGAATTTCATTATATAATTTTATATTCCATATAATACAAAAACTATTTGTAAAATTGAAATACGCTTGTTCAAAATGTATCAGTGACATGCATCGATTCAAATGTTTTCTATTACATGAAATTAAAATAAGTTTTTATCTTGAAATCTATCGCGAATTATATAATAAATCGTTTAAAGCTGGCTTCATGTTATAATGAAATTATTTGTGATATTGTTTTTTTTTTCTTGTTTTAATTTAAGAACAATTAGCTAATCATCTTTTCCAATTTTTTATGTTTTTGTATTTTTCGGTCTATTGCCGTTCTTCTTTTATATACATTTTCCATTTCTACATATAGTTTCTTCAGATTGTATTTGAATACTACACAGCATAAATCCGTTTAGATTTGTTTAAATTTATTTACATAGACACGATCGTAATAAGTATGGAAAAAAACTTGGACAGTAAATAAATCGACCAATCACAAGCGTTCTCGAGATGACAGAATTAGCAAAAATTCAAGAAAATTACTCGATTGTAATTGGCTAGGGCTTTGATTTTATATAATTTCAGTGTTTTGTGCGTTTTCCAATCAAATTTTGGTTCAAATAATAATGTGCAAGCGATTCTCTTCTAAAAAACTTAATCACCAAAGAGTAAAACTATTAATTATTTTTTCACATTTTGCTGCATTTACAAAATTGTATTTTTACTCCACAAATATTATTGCTTTGCAGTTCAAAAGATCATTAGAGTAGCACTTAAAATTATCTCGAAAAAGCTTTCCTTTTAAATTCATCGACCGACGAACCGACCAATCTGTCTCGACAAAAGAATTCACATGCAGTGAATATTCTCGTACGCAGTTAACCAAAAAGAAACGAAGCATCCGTGGGGGGAAAGGCGCGACGGAGAGAGAAAGAGAGAGAGAGAGAGAGAGAGAGAGAGAGAGAGAGAGAGAGAGAGAGAGAGAGAGAGAGAGAGAGAGAAAGAGTTCGGCTGCGTAGACGGACGAGTGCTAAAGCCAGTGTCTTTCTTTTTCAGGACATTCAGTGGAGACGCGAAACAATTAAAGAGGAGACGACGAGTATTTGCTTAGAAAGAGAATTTTCGGAGGAGGATGCTCGGCAGTTGGGGCTGCGAAGAAGAATTGGAGTTGGGAGAGGGTAGTACGACATCCGCCTCGTCGCAAGAGAGACAAAGACGAGAGAGCCCAGACTCGACGCATCCTGTCCCTGACAGCCGGGTGCTGAGGTATGCACCCAGCCGGTGTCACCACCCTCCCAGCTACAGCTCGCCACATTTCAGCACGCAGCCTCCTCTCGACTGTACAGACTGTAAGTATATATTACACAAGTTTATTGTGTGTGCGCGCGCGCTTTGGGACGCTAATATGACACAGAATGCGTAATTCGATCAAATACTGTAGAAGACATCTATCTGTTTTGGTTATGACTCTTTCGGATTCTTTGTTATTCGCGATCTTAAAGAAATAAGTAAAGTAAAAAAAAAAAAAATAAATCCTCTGAAGAAACAAGACTTGGAGATAAATCTTCAATCTTGAGAGAAAGCACGAATATTCGTGAATTTGTTCAGTCGGATACGATGATTCGAAATCTTGTGGAATACTTGTGAAAACGCGAGATTTAGAAATGTATTTGCGCCAAGAATGTGCAAATATTCGCAAAATTGTAGTCTGATCAATGTTACACGTGCCGACCATGAATAAAAATAAAAGATTTCAATTTTTTTCACTTGTAAGGAAAACTCAGAAATGCGGGAAATGGATGATCTAAAGTGTCCTTTATCCTACTTGTTCCATGACATTTATCTCTTTTTCTAAAAGTTTTGCTTCTCGCACGAAAGAGGTTTCAATCTGCTGTAGTGTTTAATATCGTTATTTGAATTCTTTCATCTTTACATTTAAAAGCTTACATTTGTACGATTAATGATGTATAAACATCGATATGCTTAAATACGCAGAGCAGCGTGAGGTGGCCAAAATGCTGACTGCACATCCTGAAATGCACGAGAAGCGGGACAGCCTCGGCGGCGGGCAATATGGGACAGGCGGGGGTGGTGGCACCTCGATTGAGGAGAAATCTATTCCGGAACAACCACCCCCGCCTTCCGGACCGCCGCAACGAGATCTATCGGATCCCATCATCACCGCTAAGAAGCTTCCAAAGAAACGAAAATTCGATCCTTCCGAACTCGAGGAGATAGACAAGATCAGCAATGTCAGTAGCAATATCAACAACATGATTAATATACGCGCGCCAACTATACCGCTCGGCGGTCAGCCGGCTCTAGGTCAGCAATCGAGCTTATCGACTACCACCACTAGCCGACAGTCACCGCAGCAACAAGAGTCCGATTATCAAGTACGTTGGATACAAATATGTACACGGTTTTCATCGACATTTTTATTGTTTAGAGCAATCTTAAATCTTTGAATAATAACGATTCATATACGCATAGCAAAGTTGAAAAGTTTCCGACTTGAGATATAAAAACGATATAAAACACGATGAATGTACAGGTATACGTTAATATTTTGAAAAAGATGTAATAGAAATGAAATTTTATAGAGAACAGATTTGTGTGTAAACGATATATTTTATTTGCTTCGCTATAACAATATTACTAGATGCATTGTGTATGAACTCTTGCCTCATGCTATGTTTAGGTATCCTCGGCTCATTCGGTAGTGGTGTTACCTCCTCAAAGCACAGCGGTGGATTATTCTCTTCGCGAGGAACCTTTACGCTCTCGTCCACGGCTTACTATTGATCTCACTGAGTGGCGCGATCACAGAGTGTTAGCTTTAAGGGATTCATATTATTATCCAGGTGTTATACGTAACGTTGTTGACGGTGTGATATTCATCGAGTTCGACGGCGAGAGAAAGTTGACGCGTTACAGTGACGTTCTGGGCGCGAGAAGATACGACGTAATAGGTGATGCAAGCCCGTCTCTGGGACAGGTGACTTTGGATACGAAGGTTTGCATCAAGTGTCCAATCGCGAACTGCCACGTGGACGTGACGAAGGTGTTTGTCAAGGGGACGGTCTGCAAGATATTAACGAAACCTTATCGTTTTGTTGTGAAAATACCGCGGGAGGACGATCGGAGTGACAGTTATGTAGTGAAACGCGCGGACTTGCGGCTGGTGCAACCTCCGTGGGCCGACGAGTTGGAGGAGGGGCTGGAAGAATGCGATCCTGCGAAAGTCGAGGCTATTGGTAATCAATTTCGTCTTGTTTTTCTCTCCCCCCCCCTCCCGATAAATTACAAGCTTGTTTATTCGCCGAGATGACTAAAGCTGTACCCGTTTGTCTTTTATATTTTCTTTATTTTTTTTTTACCAGAACACGGATATCGCAGTACCGCGGAACCTCCGACAGCAGTGCCAAGTTTGCAAATTCATCACACTTCTCATCATGCATCGCATATATCATCGCATAACGATACGAGCTATTATAGAACGACCGGTACCAGCCCTCTCATGACTTTAGGCACTCCTGCGCATTCCGCCACGGCGTTGAGTAACGGTAGCCGGCCGTATGACGATTTGGAAAGCGAGGATGACTTGGACAGGGAGGACATTACATTTCCCTCGGATGCAGGTCAGATGGAGTATCAAATTTTCATTGTCCGCGATATTATTAACCCACTGCATTGGCATTTGACTAGAAACCGCGCGCGTATATTTAAAAATATTACACTTGAAGTCTCTCGAGAACTACATGGAGTAAAATAAAAGAGATCTTTTTTGCAATAATATTAATATTTTTTCAACGATGTCGGAATTGTGTTAATAGAGAAGACATAAGATACACGAAATAGGCGATCTTTGTTTAATATCTACAGTAATTCTCAATAATTCTCAACGTTACGATATCTTTCAAAGCATTTATATTCACTCTTCTCGCTATAAATCATTATATTTGCATCAATTGAGCAAATTAGTATAACAAATCTTATAATTGAGCGAAACGTTTCTGACGACGATTGGCTTACCGCATGTTTGAGACGCGCTTGATTTTGATTCATAAAACGTGTGAAAGACGTGATTCCAATTCGATGGGTTAAGAAATGTAGCAGTTGCAATAAACACAAGATCTTACCTTACCTAGTAAATTATTATTAAAATCGAGCATTTTCGAGCACTTATCGAGAGCATTTTAATCAAAACAATAGTATAGTAATGCAGATATATTCAACTGACAGATGCAAAATTGTCAGGGAGCAGCAAAAGAAGCAGCATGCAGAGCCGAGGAAGCACCAGTAGCCTAGTTGAACAACGTAGTATAACGCCCCGTTCTCAGGCAGCCACACCCAGGTATTAATGCCGCTAAATATATTGGTATAAGATGAATTGATTAACGCGTAAAGTGAAACTCTCAATAATTAACGCACGTGTTAACCCTTTCTCTCCTAAGATCTCAGGCGGCAACGCCACATAGGTATAAAAAGGGTGACGTAGTGGCTACACCAAGCGGAGTCAGAAAGAAATTCAATGGGAAACAGTGGCGTAGACTCTGTAGCAAGGAGGGATGTAACAAGGAAAGCCAGCGAAGAGGATATTGTTCTCGTCACCTTAGTTTAAAAGGATCTGGTCTTAGAGGTCCGACGAACACATTTTCCGGGTACGAATGTTGATTTATTAGCTTTCTATGATAATTGCACTAATACATGCGATGTAAGAAAAAGCACTCCTCAAAACCAATCAAAAGTATACGATTTTTAAGAAACATAAAAAAAAAGTTTCTTTATTATTTGGTAAATTTTCAGCTTTTTTATTCACACGATATTAGAAAAGTAAGGAGACTTCGTCCGGTGATTTTATGAAACTTGGACTTAATTAAGCGAACTCCTGAATTCGTAACTGTTATGACTAGAGTTTTTGTAGCATCAACGAAACTTCTTAAATTACTTGAGCTGTTGATGTCGCTTCGAGCCGAGATGATATAACTTTATTTTCAAAATTTATCGCAGGATTGTTTTTGATACGAATTTTTGAAATTCTTTTTACTGCATGTGTTTATCTATATATATGGTTTCTTTTTTTTTGTTCCCAGCAGTAAGATGGACGGCGAAGAAACATCGAGAGATTCCGATACTTCGCCGAATTACGGTGACAGAAGAATAGCGGGTAGATTCGATCAAGACGAAACTGAAGCTGCTAATATGCTTGGTATATCTTTTATATATTTATCAGTAAGAATCCTTCTTTCAAAAAGAAATTAGAGCTTTGTTGTGATAGAAAATATTTTGAAAGATGAGATTTATTACACCCGTCTGTCAATAATACCGTGAAATGTGTCTATGTCCAAGTGATCATTTTACAAATTGAACGCGTTCTGTTGTCGCAGTGTCTTTAGGGAGTTCCAGATCGGCTACGCCAGCTTTTTCATCGCCGACGGGCCAATCTTCTATATCTCCATGCATAAACCAGTCGCCGGTGCCGCCGTTGGGGCTCAATCAGAACAATGTATTCATGCCTATTTCGAGCCCCGCTCATCATGCAACTCCGCTTATCTCGCCTGGTGCAAAATGGAAGCACTCTCCTACGCAGTCCAACTTTTTGGTCCAATATCCGCAGCAAGTGATAAAACCCGAGCCGAATCGAGTGGTTAGATCGAATCGACCGGCTCCGACGGCGCCTGTGCCCGCCAGCATAGGGACAAGCGTGATAAGAATCTCCCCGGTAGGCCGCAGCATGCAGCCCGGACAGAATCTAACTCTGTCGTGGTCGGAGCAGAGCCCGCCGCCGACGAGACACCCCTCGGTCGTTACGTCTATCGCCCAGCAACAGCAGGGCATCATCTTGCAGCACGCTCTAACGTCGAGCAACGACTTTGCCAATCACACCGAGATGCCCGAGCAGAGCCCGCAACTGATGAAATCGTCGCAGTCGCCGCAGATGCCGCTGTCCGCCGCCCCGGTGCCGCAAAACCTGGCGCTTATACACAAACCGCTGGAGCAACCGGTGGACTACGCGCCACCGCAGTCTCAGGGCCAGCCGATCTACGTGATGCATCAGCACGAAAAAAAGTACTTTGTGATAAAAAACAGCATGGACGTACCGCCACCGGTGGGCACGCACATTACCAATCAGGATGACAAGTATCGGCAGGGACTGATAAATCACCTCAGCCAATTGCCGACGCCCACGTTGCATCAAGTCCCGTGTCAGCAGCCACCTCAATCACCCGCGGTTTCATCCGTCCACATCGACAAGCTATCCGTTTTGCAACCTGTAAGTTGCTGCATCGTTTATTCAAGATGAATGAGACTGTTGACAGCTTTTATTCCTTTCTTCAAAGAACATTGCAGCAACGTTGCGGCAATATTGCCGCAACGTTGCTGCAATGTTTTGCGCTGCATGGGTGGTTTATGTGCAAATTAGAATAGAAATGAACTCCAAGTCTCCTGAACACTTTGATCATTGAAAGATTGGTATCATAAATGAACTTTCTCTGGACAATATCAGAACTATATATTTGAGATATCGCGAAGTTAGTTCGATTACAGCACTACTGGATAGAGTGATTCCTTCTATGGAAAAAATTATTGTTAATTACAAAAATTACCTTAGTTATTTTTTAATCTTCCTTAAACAATGACAAAATTTAATTTTCAATATTATTAGAGAAAAACGTCTTATTATCTGGAAAAAGTTTTAAAAATGTGGAATTTTTAAGGAATTCTTTTCTATCTGTAGAAATTGGAAAGTTTTACCAGGAAATTTCTGTTGAAAACAATGTCGAAGATTTTGTTTTTATTTGACAATCGGACGATTAGCTTTTTATTTCTTTCTGTTCAAATTTCACATTTGAAACTTGAATGGCTCTTTAATGCTTTCTTCAATATATATTATGAAGCTTGTACGTATTACTTGCTCGTATAAATAAATTGTATATAAAAATGCTTTAATCTGAAAGTTTGATCGATCACATTAGGTGGGTGAGGGAATTTTTTTTCAAGTTTAAATAAACGTTCTCTAGAGGTTCTCAATTCAAAATTGTTTCGATTAAAGCAGAGAAATGAGAAATGTAAGAGTGAGAGGAGAAATCTGTATCGAGTGATAATAAAACATTTATTGCGATTTTATTTTTACAATATTATTTGCTGGAATAATCTTTGTGAATGTCAGAAGAGCTTTTAAGAATATAACTTACAGTTTTAAACTCAACAGATACGTCACACTTGACATCGCGCGGGACAACCGCATTTTGTGGCTTTAATAGATCTCACATATTGACACGTTTTATACTTTTGTCTTCAAAGAGCTATTTTTGTCTTCAGTTATTTTTCACCCACAAGTTTATTCGTGACGCTACATGTGTACAAGTCAGCAAATTAGTTATTCAAAGATTTATAGACAGATGTGTCGGTGCGATAGCACTAATAACTATAGTACCGCTATAATTGTATCGCATAGATAAGTTGATGATGTGTTGCTGCTTGTGATTAGGTGAATAAAGTGGGCACGCACACGACTGTGCATATGGACGCGCAGAGAAGTCAGCCTACGAGCGCTGTAATGACATCCACCACAGAGTCCAATCAGTCTGCTCCGACAAGTGTCTTCCAGCATGTAATTGTTCAACCCGGACATTTGGTGCAGATTCAAAAAGCGCAGCCCGCCAGGGAAGAGAATGCAAAGAACAACGGTATCCTCTGTAAGTTTTATGTTATAAATGCATCACCGTAATATACAAAACAATCCCTATATATTATTTTATCCCTATATAGTACTTTCGATAAATCGTTTATTACATTTTTTTCTGACCTATTTATATGAACCAATTTTTTGTTAAGTGTTTACTTTTGAAAAACGTCCGAAACGTGTTTTGTTTTATAACATTTTATTAATTTTATATTATTTCGATTTTTTTTAAACTTTATTTCACTATTTTGCAATTTGATAATACAAGCTAGTTTGACTAAACGGTAAGGCTTTCACAGATGGCAGCCATGAAGTTCCTCCTGCATACCAGCCCCATCCCCCAACATTACTGAACAATGCAGTACGCAACTGGAAAAAAGGTTTGAGTTCTGACTGGCAACTGAAATGTATTACGTCTGTGTAATTGCTATAGGTTGTAATTTGTCAATGGTACATAACGTAATATTTAGGGACATTTAAGTATTATAAACGATTGTAACGATACTTGGTTAATTTTCTTTTTAACATTACGATTTTATACTTTTATTTTATTATTTTTTATACATTTTTTTGTGGGTTACATATGTTTATTACGCTATTGTGTCAAAAAAGTATATTTTCCTTTAAATTTTGAATAGAGAAAGAGTTGTTAAATTTTGTATGAGCTAGACATTTTATTTTTCTCTCAAATCTTCTCCTCTCCTCTCATCTTTTCACCCCTTTCTCTCTCTCTCTCTCTCTAATATAAAATGTCTTTAATTTAGCAATTTTTTTCATGTACCATTGCCAATTTTACAACAAACACAAGTAAATTGACAATCTTTATTTTCATCCTTTAACTTTTCATCTCATTTAACATGTGTAAATAATTATCTACTTTGAATAGCTAAACTTTAATGCTGGGGAAGGGTGTCCATTTAATATTGGACTGTCCGAGAAGTTTGTACAGGTTTTTCGAAATGCAGAACGTTCTTATACATCGATTTATCCCTTTAACTATACATTATAGTTTTATTTTGCCATTTTTTGTACTATTTGAAGATTTTATCTCAGCAAATTATAAATTTTCCTAAATTATCAGAATAAATCAAGTCATTAGTTCTAGTTATTGACTTGATAATTGGTACAAACTTCCTGGACAACTCAATATCTATTTTATCCTTAAATTACGACCACTTGTATTCACTCTATTGACCACACATGAATGCTGCATACGATATAAACCTCAAATAATCACCAAAATAAGTGGCTTCTCCTCACTTATCGTCGACACTTATTGCTGTTGATTAAATATACTAACAGTTCAATCCATTTCATCGGCACTAATCCATTTCTTAATGATACAGCAGCAAATACGTCTACGTAAAATCTGTTTTAACATATATATCGCTTGCTACTCCCGCATCATTACTAACCACCATTCATCGCAACTAACCTACTAACTTCATTGCAGCTTTTTCCTGGCAGACGACAGTTTTGGAACAATCAGAGGTGAGCCCTCCTCCTTCCGCTTTGAGCCCACCTCTGAGCGCACCTCCAATTCCAATAAGTATGAGCACTCCTGCTGAAGATGGACCTGGTGCTGGTCCAGATCCCATAACACCCGCTGAGGAAGAGGACGATGATGTTTTTGGAGCAGAACCAACTCCACCCGCGGAAGTGGAAGCCAATGCTAATAAGAGACGCAGTCAATCGCTCAGCGCTTTGCAACCGCAGACTCCATTGAAAGTAAGCTCGATGAACCATCCGATTATCATTTTAGGCCCTTTTTTTTTATAGTCGTGTTTCTGTTGAGAAACTCAGTTGAAATCGGTTTTGAGACGCGACATGGTTCAATAGATTCTCGACGAATCTCGAGAATCAATTTGATCTTTCGTCATTTTTTTTTATCACAAGTGAGGGATTTGAATTCTATTTCTCATGATAGACATTTCTTGTGATGTTTATATGTACATTTATTAAGGGAATTCCAGGAGTCGTTTGTTTTACCGATTTCTTTTAAATAGATTTTACTTTTTTTTTGGCTGTGTAGAATGAAAAATCCTTTTCTGTAATTAAAGTACATATGCTAATACAGGGTGGACGGTCGATTTGAAAGGATTTTTCATTCCACGCAATCAAAAAAAAAGAATTTTACGAAAAATAGAAGGTAAAATAGATCGATTCCTGTTTTACCTTCTATTTTTCGTAAAATTCCTTTTTTTTTTAGCAAATTAGCATATATACTTTAATTACAGAAAAGGATTTTTCATTCTACACAGTCAAAAAAAGTATAGTCTATTTTTAAAAAATCGATAAAACAGACGACTCTAACATTGCCTCAACAGTTATTATTAACAATAATATATAATTTAAATATATTTTAAATGTTAATAACGATTAAATTAAATTTCTCTGAAGTAATATTAATAATAGAGAATGTGCAATAATACATTGTCGCATATAACGTTACGTACTTTTCTTGCAGGCTAAAGACAGAATACGGCGACCCATGAATGCATTTATGATTTTTTCAAAACGACATCGCGCCGTCGTGCATCAACGTCATCCGAATCAAGATAATCGTACGGTGTCCAAGATATTGGGAGAATGGTGGTACGCGTTGAAGCCGGAGGAGAAACAAAAGTATCACGAGCTTGCCTTGGAAGTTAAGGAGGCGCATTTTAAGGCGCATCCGGACTGGAAGTGGTGCAGTAAGGACAGAAGTCGAAAGTCGTCAACGACGAGCTTCAAGGGAAGCGAAAGCAGGACCAAACTGAATAGCACAGGAGAGGAAACAGATCCTCTGCAGTGTTCTTCCTCGGAGGATCCATTAGTTGATCCATTAACGATCTCGTCCGTCGACGAAGTACCTACTCCGATTACTACTACGTACAGCGAACCTCCCGCTAATATTGAGGTAAGAAACGGAATAACAATACGATTCTGTAAGGACAAAAAAACTTTTAACAGAAGAAAGTAAAAAAAAATCTCTTTATTATCGAACAATACGAAATAGTGAAACTACTACCACTTTCACTCTCTCATAACCTTTCTTTTGTTAATAGAATAAAATAGAATAAAACTCTCTTCCAACTTTTTTCACTTTAGATATTTGCCAAAAAAAAAGTAGTCTATTTGAATTTACTGATGAATATATCCAATACATACACACAGATTATGAATCAATCACACGCGCAACATCGGACTTCGGAAATCCCTTTGCAAATTGAAAACGCGGAGGTCGACGTCAAGCCGGACGACGATGCGAATGGATCGGACGACGATCAGATGGTTATTTGCGAGGATCCTCAACCGGAAATCGACTTGAAGTGTAAAGATAAATTGACGGACAGTGATAACGATGTGCAAGATGAAGACGCGGAGAAGAAATGCTTCAATCAATCGCAATTCTCGCCTGTGAGTCAAAAGAGGGAAGTGATGAATGTTAAACAGGAGATAACCTGCAGGCCTAAACCGATAAAAGGTACTTTCTCAAGCATGAACGAATGCGACACTTATGTTAATGCTTTTTAACAATGTCAATCTTGATGTTTACATAGCACGGATACCCTCAACAGGTATAGAATCTACAACAAAGTATCACCACACTTCCATGGATAAAGGCGGTACTGTATCAGTTTTGTCGAGTACGTATCCTTATCACAGTCCTGTCAATCCAACAGGAGTGTCAGGGTTCCAACCTACCGGCGGCGCTTTCATAACTATGCCAATCTCGCCGAAAGTTATTAAGCCGGAGCCCGTGAAGAGCGAACAGCAGTACAGCACTCAGTACAGTGTGAACAATCTCGTGAGCATCCACACTGAGAACGGACGGAACATGCCCAAGTTCACAGCAGCTCCAGTATTACACACGGTAAGTATTCAGCGACTCGAGTAAATTTCAATATACATTTGTTCGATTTGTTCAAAGTCACTCACCAGATATCTCTCGCACGAACGAATTTATGAACATCGGCATCGTTACAGGATAACTGTAGCATCGTGTCAGAGTTCAGAGCAAAGATAGGCTGAACTTGTCATTTGTAAGGTTAAATCCGCTTTAAATCACCTACGATTCGCGTTTCCAAATTTCGCGCCAAAATATAACTTTGAAGATATTTGAAAATATCGCGCGTGTAAAATGCATACTGTAATATATTTTATTTTGCAAATATTTCTTGTATTACGCGGCACATAAAATTATCAATAGATTTCGATTGTTCTAAAGTGGGCTTTAGTCATTTCTTTAAAGTGAACTTTGAATATTCGGCGCTCCTTTGTATTTACAGCGGATACTGAAATTATAAAACTTCATCCTTGTTCTGTGCAGCCGTCCGTGTGTCCTTCGTATTTATGTACGAATCACGCAAATTAATTTACGCATATTTGCCACTACATACTTTCCCCATGATATTAAAATTATTTTCAGTTATCACGATTGTCCACTTAAAAAAAAAGCAGCGCGCACATTCTTTTTCTCGATTGTTCCGAATCAAGATCTCCAGGCAGAAATTCTCTGAGATTAAGTAACAAGTTTAACAATACTAACAGATTGGAACGAAACCTATGATGGCGCTGTTGAAACAACAGCAGCCGTTGCAGTCATTAGGCACTCCTCTTGGCCCCCTTACTTCAACTGTCCCTTATCAACTAACATTGCTCGATAACGATTTGGTGGCTGTTTCCAAACCGCAGCAGGGATCGCAGTACCTAAATCCGGCGCCGCCGCACCCCAGGATGTACAGTGGATTTCAGATACCCATCACTGGTGAATATACAAAGACTGTTCTCATTGCTATTATTTTTTTCAATTTTTTTTCTCCTTTCTCTCTCTCTCTCTCTCTCTCTCTCTCTTTCCAAAAGTGTGTAGACGACAAATCTGTGAATGTGGATTACAGATACCAATGGCCGCAACAACTCCATACCCGTGCAAAATCTCGTTTCCAACAAGATGGAAATACAAAGCGTGATTGTGACCAAGCCGTATCCCGTCTCGACGAATTCCTCCACCACGTCGACTTATCGAGGAGGGTTCGGTCATTCTATCGCTCGCCTCGCGGAATCCGATGACAATCAACCGACTACGAATCACGCTCAGTTTTACGGTAACTCGATACGATTTCGCGGATAATTTTACCGTGTGACGCTTTTGTCACCGTTGTCTCTCTTTTGCTGTTTATTTTATTACAGTTTCTTATTGTTACAGTTAGTAATATAAAAACGGAAGATAGAAAGGAAAGCATAAACATACTTTCCGCGAGTAATGAGAAACTTAAGCAACCGTCGACGCCTCACACGCCGCACACACCTCAAAACAATCACGGAAGCAGCGATCTATCGTCAAGTAAATCATACACATTCGACGAAGTTCAGAGCAATGATGTAGGGCCGAGCAAGGGCCCGTTTATGCTCGCTCCGACTCCAGCACAACTCGGTCGAGCACCACTGCAAAGGAGACAATCAATGGGTACGAGCTCTTCTTTTGACTTTTTTGGCTAACTAGACACAAGTGCGCGCGATTTCTTCTTTTCATTACAAAGAAATGTATATTATAATTCTATCTAAAAGGATATTTTGAACATTTTCCATAAAACATAAAAGCGATAAAAAATACCTACACTAATCTTTTTAAAATATGAACTGTTAAAGTATACAATTCTTGCATGTCTTTTTTAAGATGGGATTTATTTTTTCTTGTCAAAAATGAAACTCATGATTTATTGTAACTTTCAAGTAATATACAAAAATTCGAATCAAAATATTATTCAATCAAAGAATTTTCTTAAAATCAACTAAAAAATATTTCCGATTATTAAATATTCGTGTCTAGATACTTTTTTTTAAAGAGAAAATAATTTCAAACGGGCGACGGAATCTGTGGTTAATCTCTAGTTACATAATCTTTTGGAAGATTACACAAGTTTGTATTCTTAAACTACGATGCAAGTTTTACCTTCCTGCGGCTGAAAGTTTGACAGGTCCTCACGCGACTATTCTCAGATTAATATTCGATAATTTGAAAACTCTAAATATTTCTATTAAGATCGTCAGCTGATTTAATAATGTATTATTTCTCTTCCGCTCTCCTTTCATCCTTTCTCTCTGCTTCATCTCGACAGCAATGCCTCCCGCATCAACTGCAGGAGACCATGGGCCAATGGCGACATCTCAACATTGTGATAATCGGCTACAAACCAATACGTCTCAAATGGCAGAACAGGCACAACAGCAGAATATGTCAGAATCTCATACTTCTCCTTCCCCCTCTACAAAGAAAGGTTCTTTCTTCAAGAAAAACGTGGAGGATGGTATGGACAGGTACAGTCCACGTATTTTTAATCTCTTTACTTCTGTCAGAATCGTTAAAATTCGAAGATACATCAGATTATAATTCTGAATACATTGATCAATGATTACAGAGTTTTATTAAGAGCCGTCGCGGGATGTTAGTGCGAAATTATTTTAATTTTTCTTAAAGAAATTAAGTTATTAGTCTACGATGAGACAGTTAATTTGTACACCGATCTCTGGTTCGAGATACTTAGAGTGTACGAAAATTTTTGTACATTGTTTTCACATATGGAGAATTATTATGTACTGATGTAGGAATTATTGGAAAGAAAGGAAGAGAGAAAGAAAAAATATCAGGGCGCGAGTGGCTAAGCCGGGAATTGAACCCGGGTCTTTCGCTTGCCGGGCGAATGTTCTGACCACTAAACTACTCAGACCCCACGCTTCTAACATTTATCTCTCCTAGATTAGGAAATCAACAATTCTGTAGGACAAACGCGTCATAATGCCCGCGAGATTTAAAACACAAATAGAGATAAATTAATTTCTTTAAGAAAAATTAAAATAATTTCGCACTAACATCCCGCGACGGCTCTTAATGCCTTTCTATTATATTATTCGATAGCGATCATATATGAACCTTTCCATTATATGTATTATTTGTGATTGCAGAGTTCTCGAGCAAGTAAACTTCCAAGAAAAATTTTCCTCGTTACCGGAATTCAAACCAGAGGATATACAAAGTCCGAGCGCGATCAGTATAAACACTCCAGGTTCATCCAGCCACAGCAGCGTAACTTCTGGATTACACTCGCAAACACCTATGCATTTGCCAACTTATCGAAAGAAGTCTGCACAAGGACCTCATAGGCCCACAAGTGAGTATATTTAAACAATTTATATTATTTCAACAGGAGTTGAGTATAATTATTTCCTATAATTTTCTCTCTCTCTCTTTTCTTTTTGTAACAGTGAATGAGGACGAGATTGATTCGGACACATCGATACCAGCTACTCCAAAATCTGCTTCGAGCATCAAACTGACAGGCAACACATTCTTCGGTCCGGATTTCAACGTTGACGCTTACAGGGCCAACAACGATCTGATGGACGTCGAGGCTAGTTCTCCGCGAACTCCGAAAACTCCCGGCGGCAGTGCTGGGAATGCCGTAGGCATCGGCAGAAGTGACAACGAGCGCGGCCACAGGAAGATTCTGGAGCAACGGAGAAATCTGGTGATGCAACTGTTTCAGGAACATGGTTACTTTCCATCCACGCAAGCCACTTCTACTTTTCAAACCAAACATGCGGATATATTTCCCACCAAGACGAGTTTGCAATTGAAGATCCGCGAGGTTAGACAGAAGTTGAAGGCCAATTCGACGCCGATGAGCGCCAACAGCCTCATCAGTCCGTTGCCAGTCTCCGAATCCTCGCCTGTCGTAACCGGTAAGTAGAAAGACGCGCACGGTCCCTCGTCCTCCTTATCGCATTACAACTTATTTCATTCGACGTTTCTCTTTTCAGATACATTGATCGCTCCTCCGACATCGATGGGAGCTCCACATTCACTGCCCGTAAGCAGTAGTGGTAGCTAGCACCCACGTGCCAACTGTGATACTATGCATCCCCTTGCTCCGCAACACGAGTACATCATTATCCTTTGAAAAGCAAAGTGTTTTACTAGAGAGAAGCCGTTAGTGCGCACTTGTCCTTCGGACCTTGTCAAGTGCCGCAAAAAAGGCTTTAGTGCAATTTTAAATTACGATACGAAACTTGGTGCGATAACTTAGCCGGCATGTCGCGATGTGTTGATATACGAGTATCAGATCCGATTTTGTATATATAATATTTCAAGTATTAACTGTTTATCAAGATATCAGCTGCTCTCTTGGGAGTATGTGTTCGGACAATCTGTGTTCGCGATCGTCGTTAAACGACGAGATGAAGAGAAAATTTATCAATATTTCTGTAGTAGACAAGTTTCAAAACTTGGCGATTTGTGTTTTTCTTCCGCGAACCCGGCTTTCACGCGAGACTTTACAGACATAATGTCTCGTCGAGTGGCGAATAACGTAATACATAGTAACGAATGTCATGCAAGATGAACATGGCTATGTAAATTTACATAGCCGTTAAACTGTGCAATTCTTACAGGACGAACTCGCTCTTTGAAGACGGAAAGACAAAATTGCATTGCAGTTCTAAAAATGGTTTAAAAAGAAAATGAGAACGATAATGAATATAATATTATTTTGCTCCGCAATTCTTGATTATGCAATTGATATTTCTACATCAACACGTCCTGCGTGATTCGCGGAAAGGCCTAAGCCGTTGTTAAATATTGTTGAAAATATGAAATGAGATTCATAGAGAAAGAGAAAAGGTAAAGGAGAGAGAGACAGAGAGAAAGAATCATAATCGGAAATATTATGCGACATAGAATTAATGTATCATTATAAAATGAGATCAGAGTTTATATACTTTAGTTATACTTTATATATCATATACGAGTCCCAGAAAAAACTATAGAACGAAAAAATCGCGATAAGAACTGCACCAAATTTGTGTATTACACTCATCGGGGAGATGTTTATTTCACTTGTAAATATTGCGGAACGATCTTGAGGCAGAAGATATCTGAACAGTTGAAGTATATCTGCAATTCTCTATTTAAAGAAATATTAAAAGCAACGCATTCTCTTGACCGATAGATTATAAATACCGGAGATATAAAAAGAAAAAAACCGTGCCATTGTGCGGCGACAAAGCGAAGGGAATGTAATGCGCTGTAATTCCCGTACTAGTGAAGGAATGATTGTTAGATAATTCTTGATATAAATAATATGTAATATGTTTTCCGACACTATTGAAAGTACTTATTCTACTGTTTTTTAGACCTTTGCTAAGATTCAACGCGCTAATCGCATATTTTATAAGTATTTTAAAAGCGGTCTATCTTTATTCTTTTTTTTCCATTTTTTTCATTTATCTTATTTTTTTCTCTTTTTTTTTTGGCCTTAGATTTAAGTGTTTTTACACAGGCTGTATTTTTTTTCCATTTTTTTTTTGGCCGTGACAAATACATATTTTATTATTATCTCTGTTGCACGTGTCAAGTACTTAATATGTACTGTATGAAGAGACGAGAACAAAATCTATTCGTTGTTAAGGTTTCAAATATCGATGCCGATCAACAATTGGTGGTAATTATCTTCAATAGTAGCGCGTTGAAAAGTAAAAAGAGCGTATACTTTTATTAAAATATAAATGTTTATAATGAATTTGTATTATATATGAAAGGGGATCAGTGTTGTTGTTATAGCATGCATTTTAATAAGTTTATTCTCTTTATTATACATAAACGGTACGACGTGTATCGCGTCTGTTTTAACATCTTTTACTGATCCAACGTTTTTCCCTCCTTTTTTACGTTGTTAAAGCTCTCAGAGTTATTGCGTTGAATTTTAGCAAGGATTGTTGAATTTGGCTGTAAAATAGATTATGTAATTAGTGATATGTTTATATATAAAAAAAAGAGAAGCGCGCATCTTGGAAGATTAGTCTCGCGCCACGGCACGTATATGTAGTGAAAATATGAGACAGTGTCTATTATACATATTTTGTAAATAGAACCACACAATATATTAACTATATATATATATATAAAAAAAATATATATATATATATATATAAATTTATGTGTGTGCGTATGCGTGAGTGCGTGTATGTGTGCGTGTAAATTGCAAATATACAGATAGAATATATGATATTGTAATTTGTAGAACTATAATTACGAAGAAAAGCGCAAGCAGGATTAAGCTTAGAATAATTGCAGATTATGGGCTTTCTTTTGTAGTGGATTCTTGTGCTCGGGACGGTCCTCCCACCCTTCTCCAAAGTTAATCCTTTTTCCTAAATGCTTAGGATATATTATTGTTTGTATATAATATAATTATATTATTATCCTATCGTCTCTTTGATTTATCATTTTTTATCGAGCGTTTAAGCGCACTTAGCGGCAAACTGTAACTGTAGGAAGAGGGAAACTTAAAGCCTGGATTGATCCTGTGTGATGCTTTTCATATCACCGGCGTTATTCGATATTAATGTCCAATTCTGTCGAATCGTTTTCATTTTGAGCTCTCGCTTCAGATTCGCAAGACAGGCCATTTTAATGCGTTTTAAAACGATTTTTATGGTGCGAGCAATTGAAATTTCGAAACGTAATCATTGTAATTGTGAGAAAACATTCTAAAATTGCACACGTGCGTTCAACATCGTGAAGTGTGCGAGTGCGTTACTTTTACTTAATTCGCCTGAATTCTAATTCGAATTACCACGAATTATCCGATTGGATATGTTCAATGTATGAGATTCGTATCGAATTTTTTTAAAAAGATATTTTATCATAAAATATTTTAAATACGAATGCTCAAGTCTTAATGTGTATTTATGCTTCATGCACGAGGGACCTGCTCTCTTTTGCAGGATCCAGTGAATTTGTCAAGTGTCTGTGTGTTTACATTTACTCTCTCTCTTAGCAATAATGAAGAGATTTCGTCCATCAACAAGTTATTTATATGTTAAGTGTCACTTATCTCACACATGCACTCTTTGTAACAGCTTCTTAGAAACGCATAGTTTCTATATATATATATATCGGCATACCATTTCTTCGTTTTAGATGAAACAGGATCTTAACAGGGTTTGAATATCTCTCACGTTAGCTCATCTCAAAGAATTAACAACAAAACAAAAAAAAATACTATATTTTGTACTTGCGTAAACTCTAGCGAACTACTTTCCAGTATTTTCTAAGATTCTTCAAAATGCTTTGATATATATCTTCTTCCCCGTTCATTTCACATGGTGATGAAATACGTTCCATGATTTAGCAGCCATGAATGTGACTGTGATCTAGAAAAAACAGAAGTAAAGTAAAAAAAGTGGCGGCTACTCTGTGCTGACTATTTCTTCACCACATGACTTTCTTCCCGTGTGTACTTCTCTTCCTCTTTATATTTCTTCCTCAATGTATAAATGAATATGCACTGAATCGAGCGCTTTACAACACTTCTCCTCTCTTTTTTTTTTATTTTTTTTTATCTTACGTTAGATGTATATTTTTACTATTCTTAGCCGCTGTACGATGTACATCGTAATACGCATTATTCTTATTACGTCTTGTTTAATTTTGAAATATTTTTAAAAAACTGTTATGTAATTATATATCAGTCAAGATTAATGTGTATGGAAATATATGAAGCATACAAAAAAAAAACAGTAAATACCATAGATAGAAGTTGTGAACACAATGACTATACGTATCCAATGCAGTGAATCTTCACGTCGGACGCATCGGCGCATTGTACGCGACGTACGTGCATATACATGTGTGGGGACGATGAGAAATATAAATATATAAATATATATAAACGCAAATATATATGCATATATATACATATATACTAGAATGTATGTAAATATATGTACTTATATATACATATACATAAATGTATAAAAAAAAACTTAATTGCAGTCGCATATATGACATATTATGGTATATAGATTATTATATGTATTATAGGAGAAACTATTATATATTTGGCTAAGGCATTAAAATCTGCACCAATCCAAACGAGATGCACAGTTCGCTTTGTATTCTGAGACACACGATCGACTAACATCTCCTTTTATCTCATTCATTTCAGTGTCGCAAAGAAAGATCTCCGGATATAATTGTATCGGCGTATTTGTGTAAGTTTCGTGGAAGAAAAAAAAAAAAAAAAAAGAGGAAAAGAAGCTGCACACGTACCGTACAACACATGCGCGCGCCCGCGCTTAAATGTTATTCTATAGCTTACTCTATCCAACTACCGATGCGTGATGTAGAAAGAAAGAGAGAGAGAGAGATATTACACACGGCATCGACGGATCATTTCGGAGGGATCATTCTTTTATACCGCATACTCTATCTGTAACTGTTTATTTACCGGTTTTTACCATTGTGCCTCTATCGATATATCTCGGGATTCACAATTGTTTTCAGTGTATCACGCTGAATGCAAGCCAAGCGCGTACGCGGATGAGACGATAGCGAGATTGGCAGATTTTAATACTGACGCCCGTATATGAGAACCAGTTGTTGGACCAAATTGCCGGTGTGTGGCCGTTTTGAAACTTAGAAATGCGTTACTTTTTCTAAGAAGTGATTCGAATGAGAGCAGAAAGTGGGACGAGAAAATTATTCGCACGGCACTGTAATATTCAGGTTGCTGGAACGCAATCGATGCACCGATTATGTACTTAGCACAATTGATATCGTAATAGAAATGTTTTATTTGTATCTACATACGACGTAAAATTTAAGTGCGTTTTCTTTCCTGATTCGTGAAAAAGAATCTGCTGTAACGAAACAGGTTTGTAATCTTCGATTGAGAGCTTGGAAATGTTTGAGAGTCGTTTGGAGTCGTCGTGGATTTTTTTTATTAAAAAAAATATATACACATTAACTTTTTGTTCGATATGATTTTCTCGGAATCGCGTCGCATAACGCTACATTGTGTGTCAAATCTTTTTGTCGCACATTTCTATATCTCACATTTTATAATATCATCAAAGTTGTTTCTCTGCTCACTAATAAATCGTAGTATGGCCGCAATGTGGAATTAGAGGAAAATTTTTATCGTATTATTTCAGTGGAGACATGTTGCTGCAAATGATGATAATTTACTATGTGAAGTGTATTATATGAAAAATCTACTCGCGTAACATTATGTGTGTAAAGGCTATATTTTATTATAAGATGGGAATAGAGCAAAAAAAAATGTGTGGTGGATTATCTCATGCCTGGCCAAAGTATTATTATACCGATAATGTAATATTACAATCAGTTTAATAGAGTGGCATGTGTTTTTCTTCCAGTAAATATAAACCATCGCTGAGAAACGATAACTTGTTGGCGAAACGCATAAAGTAATTTTTTCTCCAATATACACAAGTGCATTGTTCTTAGGGAGACATTTTAATGGCCTGTGTACGTTAGCATTAAGAATACTGATAATTGTAAAAAAAAAAAGGGAAAAGAAGATTCATAACACATTACCGATTACAAGTTTTCAGGAAGTAGATAAAAAATTATGGAATATATATATACAAAAAAAAAATATTCTTCATCAAATGTATATATTACAGAATCATATATATTATATACTAATGTCTGATTATAAAATATTGAAGAAGTGTTATCAAATAAAATGTTGTAATCTGTGTTGACAATCGCCAATGTTATAAACTTGACACGATCGTTAATGGATACATGCCTTCTTCAAAGATTTTATCCCAACATTTGGAGACAATTGTCGAGCATTCAAATAATTTTTGTTTCCAGAATCGGCCAGAGGAAATTTTTTTATACAGTTATCGAATTAAGAAAACGGATGAAGAGAGGATAAATGAAGAATTTTTGAGAGAAATATTCGTGTATATATTTTCTCAAGTAATTGTTACAGTTGCGTGATCCGATCAAATCGCGATAGAATATTTGGAAAAATGCAATTTAAAATCAGTAGATAGACAATCTTTTGCTTCATTGTCATAATTATTGTCATAATTATTGAAGCGATTGTTACTTCGACATATTTTCCTTCTGCTTTTTCTGTTTCTTCGTTTCGACCTCATCGATGGGCGCAGGTTTAACGAATGGAATTTCACTTTCGTATTCGGAGGGCATGTATTCCGCCAGAACTTTCGGCACTTTGATGCCAACTTCCGTTTGATGTACTTCCAGAATTGCGCAAATTACGCGTGTCACGGCGCACATCGTTGCGTTCAACATGTGAACATAGTCTGTTGTGGTGTTCATTTTCTTCGTTTGACCGTATCTGCAATTAAACGAGTGTCAAATTGTTGCTTATAAATTGTAAAATAGTAATATCAGTTTTGACACACGCAGCATACATATATTTACCTAACTAGTAATCTTCTAGCTTGGTAATCTAAACAATTGCTACACGACACGAGTTCACGAAATGCACCAGATCCGGGAAACCAGGCTTCTAGATCCAACTTCTTGGAGGCTGCATGATTTAACGCACCGGATACGATATTAACTATACGATAAGGAATGTCTAGAGCTTGATAAAACTCCTCCGCATTGGAAATCATTTCTTCCATCATCTCCCAAGATTTGTTGTCGTGCGGCGAGGTTAGGCAGAATTGCTCTACCTATAAGTGAAAAGAGAACGAACGCTCATTCAACTTGCCGCTTTGTTCAATAAGCGGGTTTCCATTCAGGTATAAATACCTTCTCAAATTGATGTACTCTGAAAATACCTCTAGTATCTCGTCCGTGAGAACCAACTTCCTGTCTGAAACAAGTAGAGATTCCAGCATATTTTATTGGTAAAGCGCTTTCGGCTATCCATTCGCCCCTGTGAAAGGCTGCTATCGGTTGCTCAGATGTAGCGATAAGATATTTCTCTTCCATTTCCTTGTCCTCATTACGCTCACTGCCTTTGCCGATGACCTATCGGGATAAAGCATGGTAATTATTGTCCTCGTATCAAGTTCCTCTCTCACATAATTTCTCACAAATACCTTGTACAACTCTTCATCAAATTGAGAAAGCTGCGCTACTTCTTGCATCGCATCTTTCCGCATAATGAACGGAGTATAAAGAGGTTTATAACCTCTTTTAAGTAATTTTCTTAATGCAAATTGTATTAAAGACTGTTGGAGAAAGACCACTGGTCCAGTGAGAAAATAACCTCGTCCACCAGACACACTTGTGCCGCGTTCTCCATCCATTCCATCGATCATGTGAATCAAGTCAACGTGCGAGTAATTTTTCCTCTCAGTGCAATTCCCCCAAGTTCTCTCTATCTGAAATGAGAGAGCAGATGTTACAAACCAATAATTACAGGTTGTTGAAATTGCAAACAAAATCAGAAACAATTATACATACTTTGTTTTCTTCTTCATCATTGCTGACAGGCACCGATGCGTGCAAATGATTTCCTACTTCCCTGAGCGCGCTATTCCTCTCTGATTCAATTATTTTTAAACTCTCGTCATTTTTCTGTACAGCCTCGTCGATGAGAGTGCGTATTCTCTTGATTTGCGTTATTGTTAATGCCTTCAAGTTCTCAGAGGTCAAGTTATCGAGATCGTCGGCAATCGCTTGAGGTACGGTGTCGTCATCGCCGAGCGGTTCCTTCTTCTTCATCCTTTCGCCAATTTCTTTGCTGCACAAGTTCTTCAGCTTGTTGAAATTATCAGCGCGATGTCGCAATTGCCGCCAGTGTTTATCCTTTTCGATTACAGTATCCACCAGTTGTACATTTTTGAAACGTTTTTTCTGATTTTCTCGGATCTTTTCCGGATCGAAACCTTTATCCTTGCGGAAGAAATCTAGGTCCAAAACCATTTTTTTACGTTTGACAATTCTTCGTGTCAGAGAAGACCTGCTCACACGTGGTACTTAACCAGCTGTCGCGAGATTACGTGATGTATTATGTTCGAGATGTGCACTTTTTATTTGCAATATATTTAATTACAAAGAGTTACAATTCAATTTCATCACGAGGAGACTTTGTTGTTTGACAGCGATCAATAATCCACTCTTAAATTCTTATAAAATCTTCAAAGATAATCTCAATCGATGTTAACTGATGACAACGACTAGAGAATTGAATCACTGAACTATATATATATACCGGAATGCTGCCATGCTACGTATATTGGCGACTAGCATAGATGTAGTGGAGTATAGATTGCTCATGACACGTTCGCAGAGTGTCGAGAATTTAGAAAGAGTAAGAAGACTTTTGGCCGGTATTCATAATCTGTTCTTATATTTAAGATTGTCTTAAATATTGTCTTAAAATGCTACGAACCAATCAAAAAGCCATATTAGTATCTTAAGACGACGATGACGACGACTTAAGACGATCTTAAATATAAGAAATGACTATGAATACCGTCCAATACTCCTCCCAGCCGAATTGAAAAGAGATGGCGATTCTATTGAAACTCTGTTGCGTTCTCTATTGACTGTAACAATGCATTTCCTTGAAAGTTGAAGTTTATTGAACCATGATTTTCTGTTAATAAAAGTCTCAAAATATTCAGATCTTTTTTCTTTACTCAAAAAGATTTTTTTTTCTTTTTTTTGGAAATAAAGAAAAAGGCCTGGCAGAGCCATCTGGCCTTAGTTAAAAAGAATTTCACGTATGAATACATCGCCATCTGGAGTTATCCGAGTCGAATTATTTAGCAATAAGAACTCGGACGGAGGCAATGCTGCCAGAAACGAGCGGCGGCATCACACTAATCAACCGAGAACCGATGACGTCACCCTATCCGTGTGAGCTCGACCCGGTCGACCAATGGAAGAGAACGCCGTCTTCCTTCCACCAAGCCGACGCAACAGACGGTCTGTTGC